GTTTGGGGCGGTTTGGGAACCAAAAAATTCAACCAGGGGGTTTTTTTTTTATGGGGGATCAAAAAAAAGGGAAGGCCCCCCCCCCCCCCCGGCCGCAGTGGCTCTACGCTATTATAGTTTTTTTGCGAGGGGAGTGGAGCAGGTGATCGACCCCGGTCTAAAAAGGGATAAAAGAGTGAAAGGCAAAAGAAAAATAAAGATAGGAAGAGAGGGCGGAGAGTGTTAAGGAGGACCCGATTCGCAGGGTATCCGTCGATTGACTTTTTACCAGAATCGGCACACCTTCGCATACGCACGTGGGGTGGGGACCCATGCACGTTTTTTCTCATCTCAGTGTCTGGTGCGAGTGGATGGCCCCAATCACAAACCGCAATTGCTGCCCCCATGTCTCCCTCCATTTCATGCGTGCCGCCGTCCGCCATGGCGCAGGAAGCAGTGCACGCTCTCGGAGGAAAGCAATCCGCTCTAGGGAAAGTGTTGATCGATGCGGGCGTGAGGGAGCCTCACGACATCGCCGGGATGAAGCAGGACATGAAGGTGAAAGGGGAGCATGGGCGTGTTTTTTCCAGTTAGGGGCAGGGTTTGGGGTTGCGATTGGCGTCGATGTCCAGTTTCTTGATCTCTTCTTTGGGTGTCGTGTGCGTGTGTGGTGTGTTGAGTAGCCGATCCAATGACACGATCAGAGGAAGCGTCGGTACTTTGTATCCCATGGTCACACGGAAACGACAAAGGTACAGCAGTATTGTGGAGAATGTTCTTGCAGAGGAACACTGGCCGACTTCTTGTCTGTGACGGCGGAACCAAGTTTAGGGTGATGAGCTCCCCCAGTTTTGGCCGTGGCCGTGTGTAGAGCTTCCAAGCCCCCCGAAGCCGATGCTGTTGCAGAATGTTGGAAAACGTGAACGCACCTTCATTAGCATGCCAGCACGTCAGGATGCGGCGCAGGCATGTAACGGCGGGGGGAGGTTTCCGAGGGCGATGGCACCGCTGGTTGGACCACACCATCCTTTTTTGAAAACCCTGCACCCAATTAGTTCCCCTGCCTCCCCCACCTGGACACACCGCCGCAGTCCTGCGACTGGCGCGAACGCCCCCTGTCGGAGGAGAAGCTGGTGTACGCGAGGTGCGACTCCCACTACCTCATCCCGCTCTGGCGACTCCTGCGGGCGCGGCTGCTGGCGGCGGACACTTTCTCGAGCCGCCAAGACGGCGGAGAGGAGAAGGACGGCAGGGAGGAGGCCGCGCTGCGGGAGATCAAGCGCCGTTTGGACGAGGATCAACGCCGGGAAGAGGCCCCCCGCCAGATGCAACTTCCTCCACAGTCACCCCCCCCCTCCAAGGGGGGTGCTGGTTCGGGAGTCGTCGCGATGAATGGCGCCACCACCGCCGCTGGGCTCGCCAGTGATCACTTACGGTCCGGATCTTCAACAACAGCAGTTGTTGACGGGAATTTGCCCGCAAGGTCGCCGGTGAGGTCGGGCGCCTGCTCCCCCGCCGCCGCCACCCAGTCGGCGTGGGAGCCGTGGATGTCGGAGTGGGACGACCCTGAGGATTGCCACAGGCGCGAACGCAGCCGCAGCGGCTCCTTCTTTCGGCCCGACCTGGAGAGCATCCACGAGGGCGCCCGGAACAACGCGTGCGGCGCCGGCTTAGACTCCGCCGTCACGGCGGCATTCCTCGAAGATGAAGAAGATTACGGCGGCGAGGTCGTAGGGGATGGAGCAATTGGATTGGCCAACGGCGAGGCGCGCCGTTTCGGGGATCTCGACGGGGCTGGGGGTGGGGGGGGGGGGGGCGTTGCGGCCAGCGAGGAGGATGACGAGGATGAGGATCTTTGGGAAGGTAAGCGAGTGGGACCGTCGTAGGGGGTGCTTGCTTCGTTTGGGGAGAGGGGCTCGTAGCTTGTATGTATAATAGGTGTTTCGTCCTGCGATATGATTGGACCACGGTGGTCGAGTGAGGGCTACAGAACGCCCCACCACGTACATTTATTTTTTGTCTTGGGCGAACCCTGCGGCTGGTGTCCCTCTGCGGGGAACGAACGTAACAGAAAATGTAAACCAGCAGGTTATTGTGTGGGATGGGGTCCAAGGTCTTACCATGCTTTGACCATATTAACTCTCAAGTATCATGTTTTTGCATGTGCGTTGTGGTGTGTTTTGTATACAAGCGAGTTCGGTTTATTCGCTCGAACCATTCCGACACATTTCTTTTTCCCCTTCAAGGTTGGGGTGAGAGTTGGGGCGTGACCGAGGGCGTCGAAGACGCGACGACGTTAACCGCGGCGACGGCTACCGGTGGCCACACCCCTAAGGACGAGATGAGCCCAAGCTTTACGGCCGAAAGGGAAGAAGAAGTTGATGCTGCTGCTGCTGCTGCTGCTGCTGCTGCTGCTGCTGCTGCAGCAAGTCCCGCGAACACGTCGCAAGCAGCAGGTCCCGTAGACTCCTCGCTCGCTGATGACTTGAACTCTACACCACCGGCAGCCGGAGCGGCGGCGTACGACGCAACGAATACGGTTGCCCCTGGGGACGACCGGCCCGCCGCAGAGCCGGACCCTGCTGCCGTAGTCCTGACGGACGGAATACTGCTCATGTGGAAGTCGCTATCGAGGGCCCACGTCGCGACGGCCGTGCTGTGGCGCCCCTCCCGGGAGGCGAAGGGCGAGGACGCCCACAGCGAGAGGCACTTCCGCACGGCGGAGCAGCGGCTGAGGCCGCCCCGCTGGTCCGAGATCAACGTGCGGGTGTACGAGGACATTTTTGTCTGGAGGGACAGGACCGCCCGCAGGCTGGACGACGGGGTGGCCTACGTCTGCCCCGGGGACACCCTGATCGAGGTGGCCCTGGCGATGCCGACGACGGTGGACGGCCTTCGGCGGGTGGCGGTTCCCCTGTCGCCGGTGCTCGGG